ATTTAAAAGCTATAAAGAACATGAAATTGTGGCGAGTCATGATTGCCCACACCTTGAAGGGACACGGCACATAGAAGAAAAAAAGAATTGGTGTAGATTTAATCCAACACAATTAATGTCACTTGTTTACATTTTGTCGCCAAGCTGCCGGATTTTCACCTACTGGTTTTTGTTCCATGCATATATTACAATTGAAACTAAATGTTTAAATATTTCTAAAAATGAAAAATAATATATGAGTAAAAATAAAGAAATGAGTATATAAAATGCTGTGACTTACATCAATCAAATAGTTTAAAATTACAGCTACTTGTTCGATCCCTGTTGCTTCGCTAACAGCAAAATGATCGAATTGCATGCCTAAATTGTTTTCCATTTAAAAGACTGCATTTATTAAGAAATATGTTCAGTTTAAATATAGGAATCATAAAAATGAAGGTCGTACATTTCGACTTCCTCTTATCCAGAGGTTGTTGCCAAAGAGAATTGGAAATTAGACCCAGCAGCACAGATGTCCATTTTAATTTCATTGACATTGTGTACGTTTGCATGTGTGCTTGTATAGTTTAAAAACAATTACAGAGCTAATAATATTTCTACAAAATAATAAAATGCTTTAAAAATAATGCTATTACCGAATAATTTCCGAAATGTTCAATAAAATCTTACAATTATCTGATGTTTTAAGGCTTAGAAATTAACTATTTTGTTGTCTCAAACTTCATTTCTTGGTCAGCCCAGGAGAGAGGACGTCCATATTGAGTAAAAGGGGGGGATGTATTATTTCAATGTCTTATTGTCAAATTGTGCTAGTTTGTGTGCGTTTGTTTGTGTATGTCTGTTTATTAAATGGCACAAACACATATAAGTCATTCACACACAACACAGATATACGCATATACACTATATACGCGCATGTACAGTGTGTAACAGACAGAATCTGCTATTAAACTCTTCTGAATATTGAATGCCATCTTGAAGAATTATACCGTACCAAAGGTGGTGAGTAGCAACTACGTTGAGAATCACTGCGCTGGGCCAAATTTAGATGAAGTTGGAGTCGGAAGATTGAGTTACGCCAATCAACTCGTTAGGGAATACGTAATTGCTTAGAAAATCAACTTAGTAGAAGGGAAATATTTCCGTCCAGTTTGCTTGCTTCTATATTACTGAGTCGAGAAAAAGATAGCAAGTGGTTCTAATTGCTCTTCAAAGAATATAAAAGAGAATAAGCTACACAAGAGGGGGGGACACATACTGTAACTCAGGTCCGTGCAGTGTAGTTGCAGTATAAACCACAGGTTGGCTCTGTGGATATTGAAGAAACACAAAGGGGGCCGACGCGGGTGGAAATGCTTGAAAACGAGCAGCCATCCTGAAGATGACAATCACACTGATTTACAGTGTGCCTCCAAATCAAAACAGCTTTGATGATAAACCGACTTACTTTTTATAGGAAGAGCGAGTGAATTCACTCTAAAGTAGGTGATTGATTTACAATGTACGTATAATGTAAATCGCTTAAATATTTAAGATGTATGAGAAACCTAAAAGAAAAAGAGATTAAAAACAATTCTAATCTTTTATCTTAATCTACAGCCGGTGTCGATCGCATTTTCTCAAAGTAATAATCTAAAAATTTTAAAACACGCATGCGCAACCTAAGGAAAATAACGATTATTAAAAATCACTAAAAACCATATCTATATCTATATATATATATATATATATATATATATATATATATATATATATATATATATATATATACACACACAATAGGTAATACAAATAGGTTGAAATGAAGTTGCTAAAATCGAATCGTCTTAGGAAAAAAAGAAAGTAATTTAAATATGGCGTCAGTGTAGGCAACATGTGTATCCAAATATCTCAAACATCTTTTCAAGAGATATCTCAGTTGAATATTCTAGAATTGGGCCTGAAAAATTCAAGCCATTATACTTTATCCGTTTAACTGATATAAGCAAACGGCGCCGGAGGGTACAATTCCTGAAACACCGACCGGAGTGGGGGGGGGAGCTAACTTGCGGCCCCGGGCTGTGCTTTGTGTCTCTCGCCATCTTATCAACAGTTGCTACCTACATTTATATAAAGTGTGCGATGGGTAAATTGTCGTCATTTTATATTTTTAATTTCGTGCATGCGCGTTGCTTGTTTTTGACTTTCTTGACTGCGCAGTATAATAGTGTCAGTTGAGCACCGTCTGTGAGAGAAAGAGCATCATGACGCAATTCTCTCTGGCAGAAATTTGGAAACAACATGCTGAACTGCTTGGCATTCGCTCCGGAAGCTCCAATATGAACATTTCAGAGAATTTGGGTGTCAGTCTGAGGACAGTGCAGAGGATTCGGAAAGACTTAGATGGGTCTAATGGTGATTACGAAGATACGGCAGCTCAGAAAAATCACTCTGGTCGTCCTGATAAGAAAAGAACTCCTGAATTTGTTGGTGAGGACCTCAAACTCAACACGGCGGCCTACAACAAATACCTTGAGGTAGTGCTACCCTGAGTCAAGAGGGTGGCTGCTGGAAGATCCTATGTCTGGCAACGGTAGTCTACATCATGCCACACAAACAGGAGTTTGTCTTGGCTGTCAAACAATTTCTGCGACCTTATTTCTGGGATCACCTCTTACATCTGGCCACCTAAATTCCCAGATTGCAACCCACTTGATTATTATGTTTGAGGCACAGTTGAGTGAGAGACAAACAAAATTCCTTGTAACACCAAAGATGAACTGGAGAGAAGGATCATGGTAGCATTCACCAACTTAAACAAGGAGACCGCCCAGAAGAATTGCAGGAGATTCCGAAGTCTTGCTGGGACCGTGGTTGAAGCCAAAGGCAATTTTATTGAATAAATTTATTCTTTAGTATTTCAAGATACTTTTGTGTTATTTTGGCAAATATATTTGTTAAAATGAGACGCCAGTGTAATTTATTTATGCGTAATTTAGATGACAATTTATCCATCGCACTCCGTACGTGAAGTTGGTGTGAATATGGTGTGTCTGTAGATGGTACGGCTGTAGATATAGATGGGCTGGTGCTGATATCGTGTACGTTAAGTTAGTACGGAGGTGGATATACGTGAGGCTGGCGTAGATATAGTGCACATGAAGCTAAGATGGCTGTGGAAATGCGTGTGCCTATCGTGGAAATGATGTAAGAGTATTTGGTAGGGTTGGGAATGTACCTGAAGCTGGCGTGATTATAGCGTACGCGAAACATGTACGGCTGTAAATATACAAGAGACTGGCGTGGATATAATGTAAGTAAAGCTGGTACGAGTGTAGATGTACGTGAGGCTAATATGGATATCGTGTACGCGAACCTTGTGTCGATCAGCATGCACGTGAAGTTGATTTCAAAATAAGTTTTTGTGGGTCTTCTTTTTAAGTAATTAAAAGAAAAAAGATTTGTCAATCATTTTTGGGACAGTTGAAGCTAGTGAGTAATTGAATTCACAAAATGGAAAGGACCACTTCAGACTAAATAAGCTCGTTATGAATAGGATCATATATATATATATATATATATATATATATATATATATATATATATATATTTATATGATAAAGTGGAAAAAAATTTCAAACATAAATTTAGTCTGACGAAGTCCTAAAAGATGAAACACGTCGAACGAAAACTGTTTCCATTTTGTCATATTTCTTTACCCTAAAATTGTTCTTGACATATAAAAATCTCTATATAGTTATCCCATACATACACACACATATATATTATATTATCCCATACATACACACACATACATATTATATTATACTATCTACACACACACGTACATATATATATATATATATATAGTCCGATGAAGTCCTAAAGGGCGGAAACTTTTTACACTTTGTCATATTTCTTTTTCTCTAAAATTCTGGTTGTCATATAAATCTCTCTCTCTCACGCTATATATATATATATATATATATATATATATATATATATATATATATATATATATGGAGGAACGCAATACAAACAAACCTCGGTTATAGCACACACACGTATATATATATATAATAATATATATATATATATATATATATATATATATATATATATATATAACGGCTAATCTCACCATAACCATCTGGTTTTGATTCTGATGTTCTTTTTGTTTGTTTTTAAATTAAGAATGCATGTTTTTGTCTTCTTCAGACAGTCTTCAAATCCTTCAACTCTAATGCGTGTTGGTTCAAACGTTAAAAAAGAAACCTTTGCTTTCTCCTCCCTGACAAATTGCAATCAGCATCATGACATCTGATGTGTCTGCTCATCATTTGTGCTTTTCTATTTTATTTTGCTTTTCGCAAAAAAAAAGAAAAAAAGAAAAAAAAGAAGAGGTATTACAACTGAATCCTGATTTTGAACAAGACACATAACAAACCGCACATCACATTTTTTTCACGAACATCCCAGCAGAAATATTTTGAAGATTTTAATATTATATCCTCTCAGTTTCTGTCTTGTTCGGCAACCAAATGTAACAACTGCATGTTTTAGTAGGAAAAGTAATATCCCTGTCCCTTATACTATGAATACAAGACTTTTTAAAAATTCCTAATGACTATTTGGAATTCTTTATATAAATAACCTTCGTAACTTTTATTTTATTTTTCTATTTTATTTTCTATTTTTTGTTTTACTTTTTTTTTTATTAATTATTTACTATTTTTAATTTTTATATTTCATTTCAATTTTTAATTTTAATTATATATATTTTATTATTTTCAATTTTTAATTTTAATTATATATATATGTGCATCTTTCATTAAAAACGACAGACAAGGTACTACAGTTAAGCTTGTTACTTAATTTTTCTTGTGTTCAACTCCTAATGTTTAACCCATGGCTGGGTGGAGAAGTAGATTCATACTTTTTCCAAAAGTACTTGCGCGTAAGCCCGACTGGAATTCGAACTCGGTTCTCTGATTTCTCATTACACCGGGCGCACATCCAAGCTTACAGCACATGGTATTCCCAAGAGGTCACCCAGCTAGATACTGACCAACCTCGACGTTCCTTAACGTCGATAATCGGACGAGAACCGGTGTTTCAGCGTGATATGGCCGTAAGCTTTAACGAAGAGGAGTTACACGTTTAATTCGTTCATGAGTAAAATAAAAGAAACTAGTCATTGTGTTACAGAAGGCGTAGAACAGTCCAAAATGTCAAACTCTACCCTACTGGTCAGAAGACAACCCGACGGGGTTGGTTTGCTCCCCGGGGACGTGGAATTCTGACATTGATGGATTGTCTTCAAGCATAAGACCGAGAGATTCGTTATTGAGACAGGTCATCACGTGGTGATGTGTAGTTGACCAATCAGTTGACGCCCGTCCTCTCCATCTTTGTCTCAATTGGGCCAAGTAACTATGTTACGGCTACTACTATTTCTACTACTGCTATCACTACTACTACTACTACTACTACTACTACTGATATGTCTTTCCCCCTGAAAATTGTCTGTCGTTTGCCTCAGTTATTCCTGCAGCGCTGGATCATAAAGAGTTGTCTGGAGACTACAGGAAGCCGGAGATAACATGTTACGCAAAAACTGCGAAAGGAATATACTTTTCTCTTAGATTGAGCCAAAATTTAATTTCAGTTTTGGTGAAACAATTGCAATGACTAGTTACCAACCAAACTGCTAATCATACATGTTAGTTACAAATAAATTTAGAGTACACCACCATACCTTAGTTGTTTTTTTTGTTTTTGCATGGCAGTGGCAAGCATACACAGTGGACGAAAGAAACAATGTTGCTCGCATTCATGATAATGCAAGAATAATATAGGAAAAACTTTTGGAACTCGGTTCGTCTCTTTTTCCCCACCTGCCATATTCATCTGACCTTGCACCATTTATTACTCTTTTTGATCGCTGCAAAAACTTTCTTCAACGAAAACCAGATTCAATAATTCGTCGAAAATGTTTTATATCAAAACCTGCGTATTTTTCCTCAAAAGGATACTGAAGAGCTGCCTGATAATTGGCAAGAAGTTATTGCAAATAATGGGGAAGAAAGAATTGAATAAAACGTAATTTTCATTTACTTTTTTAAAGAATAAAGTTGATAAATAAAGGCGGAAAATATTTATGATTCAACCTAATATCTATCTATCTATCTTATATCGAAAATTATTTATCACTCAACCTAATAGAATTAATGTGTCTTCAGAGTAAATATGTTGTTTTTGGTTATGTCGCTAAAGAATTAAGCAACACGAAAGCGTCATCACTTTTTTCACACACAAAATAAGAGGATTTTCTTAAGAAGTTTATTTTTATGGCGTCGGGTTTAATTCTGGTTTCAATGCGTTTCACTCTTTCAATGGCTATCAATCAAAATAATGGCAAATTCTGTTGACATAACTTTTGAATAATGTCAGTGTGCATAATAGAAACAAAATAAATGAGATTTTTTAATGGAACATTTTTCACTTGCCACCATATTATACTATCATTCCGCCTGTTTCTATGTACGATCGTTACATTTTGCAAACAAGACTAGACTCGATAACTGTTTTAAAACCGACATTACACAAGTGTGTATAGCCACAGTTTCTCAACGATCTTATAATATAATTCCTTCCATCTTCCTGTCTTTTAGTTTCTTTTCTCCATCTTTTTCTTTCTTTCTTTTATTCTTTTCGTTTTTTTCTTCTGTCTTTACTTTTTTATTCTTTCTTTCCATATTTTCCGCCATTCTCTTTCCTTTCGTTCTTTGTTTCTTTCTATTTTCCTGTCTTTCCATCTCTCCTTGTTCTAGATCAAATTCATTGATAAATCACACAAAATCAGATAGTTTTAAGATCAGAGTGTCTTGAAATGTCACTGCATTTTTTGCATTTTGCAAAATAAAGTTTTAAACGAACCTCAGACATCCATAGCAGCTCCAAGGATATTACACGCAGACTTAAAAACTTGGTGACAGTAGTTATTTTTTTACTGTAGATTGCTAAAACAGTTTAGGTTTGTTTTACCTAGTTTTTTATTTTTATAAGGACACCAAAATGGCCAAAAGTGCAACCCCCCACCCCGAAAATAAAAACCAATGTCCACTTTGAAAGCTTCTCATTTACAATGTATGTCAGATACTGCATAAAAATTATTGTTCCTGTCATTTATGACCATATAGAATATTTCTATGAAGTAAACAATCAACTTCGTTATTAGAATGTCAGTATTACTGTGAAAATTGCTCGATTTTTTAACATCCTTAAAATTGCCTATTTTTATGATATTACATCAGTTAGGCAGTTTAAGAATGTTGAAGATTATGTAACAGAAGTTTCATTTTGTGGCCGAACTTCTATCTAGAGTTAAAACATATTTTTATAGAACATATTGTCATAGCCTTATCGATTTTAGCAACATTTAAATTTGTTACTTTATAAAATATAAAGCTGATGAAGTTGGTATCCCTATAATTTCCTACGCAAATAAAGTACTTTTAGATTCATTTTATCTTTGTTTCAAGTAGTTTAGATGTTATACGCCCTTAAAAATGGTTTGTCGAATTGTCTACAAAACATTTAACTGAACAAAGAAAATAAACCAAGGACATTAAAATAAGGATTCTATTAGATTATTTTAATTTTAAATACACAGTGAAAAGCAATTTTATTATATAGAAATATACATAAATCAGTAAGGCAAAAATCACATTACACGCACACACACACACACACACACATATATATATATATATATATATATATATATATATATATATACACAGTTATGTGCTTCATTAAAACCACAAACAAGGATTGTTTTACTTTTTTAGTTCCTTTTGTTTACATGCAAGAGAGAGTATGTTTGTATCCAACGATTTCAGATAACCGAATCTTTGTGATCGAATACTTTCAAACATATTCCTGGTCATTTTCAACACAGCAATTCTGCAGAGTTATCGTTTTTTACATATTTGACACTTGACTAACAAGTTAAATTCTTTATGTTAATAAAGTGTATCATCAGTTGTTGCATATATTTCAAACCGGAGTTCTCTTTTTGAAGATTTTATTTAGTTTTATACTCTTCAATTAACGCTATCATTTATTAGTTGGTAGTTTGACTCCCGGATAGAGTCGCTGTTGTATGTCCTACGTATGAATTTGATGTTTGTGTATCATGTAGAACGCAGTTCCTTAGTAAGAGAATTCGTAGGTGACTTTTTTGCAGCGAAGTTGATGAGATTGAGGGTGGGTGTTTTAGTTTTAAAGAGGTTAGATATTTCTAATTTTTTTTTTTTTTTTTATAGGAAACTATCAATTCTATAGACTGATCGTGTTCTGCTGGGAAAATGTAATGCTTTCATTGACTGCTGCATTTCATTTACACGCTGGGTGCATTCGCTTGCACTAGAATAGGCTTGAATAGCACTTGTTTTTATTACTTTCTATCTTATTATTATGAAGTTTCTTTCGTGTCAGCATTATTTGCTTGTAAAAAAATATTAGAATTTTCCTTATTTATAGTTTTTTTTAGGGTGAAGTGTTTGCAGAATATTGTATGATAAGAAGAGTTAAGTTTCGCTCGATTAATCCTATTTTTCCCTATGCGGCAAAGATATGCACTTATGTTTTTTTTCTCTAGATATGTGAAGGTCAGGTGCTCAGATGTGCAACGACCCTATGTTCACACCCGGATATGGGACTGATGGTGCTGGTGGGCGTATCGTAGGAAAGACTTACAAGATTGGTTTCGTAACCTTTGTTTATAGGAAGCGATTATATTTTTTCTTGAATCAAAGAGCTTTCTTCATTTTTTTTTTTTTTTTTTTTTTTTTTTTTTCGAGTCTCATTCCATTTAAGTGTCTGGAAAATTATTATTTCGTAGGAAGTTATTTTATGGATACCTGCTTAAATACCGATGTATGCGTAGCATAGCGGTTATCGGCGAGGGCTTTGAGATTGGTGTGTCGAGTTAAAATTCCAGCCGAATCTGTTGGGTTCGCTTTCGTACAAGTACCCTTAGAAATGTTATGAATCTGTATCTCCTTTCACCAGCTATGGATTAATAACAGGGAATTCTGGTTTTACTAGCTCTGGTTGGCAAGCATTCTAGGAGAAGGACGAGCTGCATGTAGCTCTGACCAGGCACCTACGACTATTTGACATACGAAAATTTTTGTTTTCTTTAGTAGGCTATATGAAAGAAAGACTCTTTTTTTTTTTTTTTTTTGAGCTTTCCATATGCCGTGGGGGCAGCTTTCAATTTCGTTGCTGACATTTGCATGAGTGCTTACTGCCCAGATGTTGAATTTTAATTAATCGAAGAAATATCTATAGATATTAATCTGATTGCCAGCCGTTAAGCAATGCTTACCGATGTTGGCCATTGCTAATGTAATGAATTCGATTAGTAACAATTGACTCAGTATTATGACTAAGCTAATTAAATATTAATATAGCCCTAGAGTGATAGTTAATGAAACATTCGACGCATACAAAATAGTGACGTACCAAAATCTGAAGTGAAAACCGATTGGAGCTAGCAACGAGTTCCCCGTAGAAACATACTTGCTACAGAAACGACAACCGCAGAACCTTCTGTAGTGAAGCTGTACGCCTGTACTGTACAAGAGTGTTTACAGAGTTATTAGTTTGTTCAGAAAATAATGTCCGATTTTAGAATCAATATTTATACCCAAATGAATGCATTTAATCAGTGTTCAAATCAGCCAAAATAGGAACCCTGAACATCTGTACATTTCTGCTATGAAGTTATAAGGTTATTTATAACTTTCGGTGCCAAGAAATCTTTGAATGTAGTTTCTGCATCTTCTTTGCAAAGGAATATCTTTTGGCGAAAAAAATTGTCAAAATGCTCCAGTAGTCGACAGATCAGAGAAATATGATGGGTGTGACAAAGATTCGTATCCCAAGTCAGTGAGCTTCTGCAATATCACCCTGGGAATATGTGGCAGAGTATTGTCATAAACAGAATTGAACCAAGTCGATTAACTAATGCCGGTCGCATTTTGCACTTGCATTTCATCCAGTTCCTGGCAGTAAACATCGGCAATGAGGCTCTTGATAGATTTCAGAAAGTTGTAAGTGATTG